TCGGAGAATGAACATATATAGGAGTTATTGGTATTATTGATTTGGTCCAGAGTTTGTAAGTATTTAAAAATATACTAAAGTCCTATAATTTATTAATGTATACTGCTAAAAATAGCCATTCTGTCTTTGTTTCACCGCGAAAATGGGTAAATCGGTAATAAGGATATGCAATGTGACGTAAGATTATAAGGCTATTTGAGAGTCTATTGTAGCTTATTAGTAAAATCGATGATGTAATCTCACATGAGCAAAATTAAATAAATAGGAGGTTCGATCCTAAAGATCGAACCTAGACTTTGATTTTCGTTAATAGAAACTTGAACCTAAGAAATAACGTTAAGTAAACTGCTAGTTGTGCAGTAGTAAGGACGTTGTGAAGGAGGTGATTGGTAAGAAAGACGAAAGCAAAGTGAGACCGAAAGCGAGCGTCAGAGCTTATAAATAAACTAAGCTAATAAACCGCCTGCTAGAATTAAGTACTGAGTGATTTATTAATCCCCACGACAATATGTAAGATATACGTAGCATTGGGTACATATTTATCTTTTAGGAATCATTGAGAACTGATTCATTTCCAGGTTCTTATTATACTTATGTACTATTTTTTTTCTATTAAGGCTACGTATATCATAATGTTTAGCTTTACACAGTCACAAGGCATGCCCGAGCAAAAGGTGCATGCCCCTAGTTGAACATCTGGGCAAGCCTAAACATTTTGCCGTGCCCCTCACCCTAATTCTGGCGTACAGAGGCTATACATTTGGATTAACGATAGAAGAAAAACGGTTAGTATCTGCAAAATGGCGATGTGCATAACAATACATTATTGTTATGCACATCGCCATTTTGCAGACACTAACCGGGGTTTTTTTTAGTTGATCCGAATGTATAGCCAATGAATACTGTATACAAATAAAGTTTAAGTGACTATCATTAAATAAGAATGACGTAAGAGCAAATTTAAGTATATATAGAAGGCTCTTTTGTAAGACTTAACGCCAATAATGAACTGACATATTTGCACTTGGCAGTGGATTGGTTGTCATATTATCCATACCTTTGGGCTTGCTGTCGAAACAATTAAAACTTCACGTTCTCTTGATAATAGTGGCATTAGTATGAGAAATTAAAATAAATTTATTGTTGTATAGACAATATGATATTGAAGAATGTGTTTTTTTTTACCTTATAATTCTTGCCGATTATCTTATTCAAGGTTATTCTAACCTGTCCTGTATGGTGTATTTTGAGAAAAAAATCTTCTCCTAATGTCGCTTAACCTTTTTTTTCATATTGATACATTGTTACATAAAGTCAAATTCTGTTAATGACATTGCTATTAGGGTATTTAAATAACATTTACAATAATAATTTTTATTTGACTTATCAAAATTATCTCAATCATATGACACATTTTCCTGAAAGAGCTTTTCTTGACATTACCTGAAATTTTTTTTCATATAATAAAATGGTGGCATTAAAATAATAGGTTAACCTGATTCTGGCTATTTATTTAATTTAAGGATAGTTTAGGTACGCCTAACTGTGCAATATGTATGCTATATGCAGTAAAAAAAAAAAAATACATATATATCCACTTTATGTGCATTTTTTTTTTTACTTTTTGACAAAAAAAATTTCGACATGTCTCAAAGTAGTAAACAAAAATCCAAAGTGCTTGTACCACCTGTTGAAAGACAAGAATCAATGAGTTCTTCAACATTCGAATTATACAAAACAAACATATCTAGTGAAGAAAATCCTAAAAGCACTGAAGGCACCAGGGGGTATAGCAGTTCTGAAAATACTGAAGGTACTGGAAATGCTGGTGGTCCTGGAGGACGAGGTATATCACCTGTTTGGTTGTTTTTTGAACGAGGAAAATCTAGTTCAGCTGGACATTATTCAGCAAAATGTTCGTATTGTGCATCTAAATGGGCAAGAGGTGAGCCACAAAAACTTGAGGCTCATCTTGCACTTGAATGTGCTTATGTAGATGATGAAGTTCGGCAAATATATTTACTTCGTGTATCTAACCGTGATCAGTCAAATGAAGCAGAATCTGATATTCAAACAGTTTTAAAAAAACAAAAAATAAACAAGCAGTCTAGTATTTCAAAGTTTTTTCCACAATCAGGAGGTGGTTTATCTGAAGCACGAATAAATGCTATAAATAGCTCATTGTTAAAGGCCTTTGTAGTTTGTGGCATTCCATTTTCAGTGGTTGAAAATCCATTTTTTATCGACCTTCTTCAAAATTTGTGTCCAAACTATCAACCACCATCAAGAGAAGTATTAGCAGGTCGATTATTAGACCAAGAGCACTCTAAAATTATAGTAAAGCGGGAAGCTATATTTCAAGAATCAAAAAATTTAACTATAGGTATATATATACTTAATAATACTATATTAAATAGTATAATTTGAATTATACTATTCAATATAAATTTTTAAATTTTATTAGTTAGGCCGTTCGAAGTTGATTCTTCAGTTAACATCACCCCCCAGCTGAAGTCTCCCCCTGAAAAATGAACAACCAATAAAAATGCTAGATAACTCTTACCAATCACTTGATTTATATCGACCAATCAAATTGACACATATTTTTTCATTTCATATGTTCATTTCATTTTATCCCCCCTCCCAAGAATTCTAAAAGTGATGTTAACTGAAAATTCAACTGCAAGCGGCCTTAATAATAATATTATTTTATAATTTAATACTTAAATTATTGTTATTGTAGCACTTGATGGGTGGACATCACCTAATGGAAGCTCAATTTATAGTTTTATTATTTTAACACCAATGCATAATAAGTTTTTATATTCATTATATGATTTTTCTTTAAACTCACATACTTCAGAATTTCTTTCAAACAAAATTAATAATGTTATAAGTGAAATTGGTGATGATAAATTTGCAGCAATTGTGACTGATAATGCCAGCAACATGAAACTTGCTCGTCAAATTGTTCATAAAACATATCCAAAAATTTTAAATTTAAATTGTATTGCGCATTGTATTAATCTTATATCTAAAGATATTCTTAGTAAGTATTAAAGTATATAGTATATTTAATTATTATAGAATTAATATAAATTTTTATTTAGAGCATGCATTTGGTCTACGTCTTATAAAAGATTGCAACGAAATTATAAAATATTTCAAAAAATCACATCAGCCAAATGCATATTTACAACAAGCAATTAATGAATTAAAAATCTCTGGAGGAGGGTTAAAAAAATTTATTGATACAAGATGGACCTCTGCATATGAATGTACTTTATCTGTTAATCGACTTGAACGTGCATTTGTTAAAGTAAGATATTATATTTTATTAATATTTTTAAAATTTAAACTAACCTTTATTAAAATTAATATAGATTATGAATGAAAATCCGGAATTAATTACAAATCGTAATATCAAACAGATTTTAAGGGAATTATACTTTTTTTCTGATCTTAAAGCTTTAATTAAGGTTTTAGCTCCCATTCAATTAATAATTACAAATTTAGAAGCCCGATCAACAACCTTAGCAGATTGCTTTGTACAATTTGTTCGGTTAGCAGCTTCTATTAAAAAAATTTCAGGCTTTCGAATCAATGCATTTAAAAATTATTGCATACAAGTTATTAATAGAAGATGGAGAAATTTTGATAGTGATATTTATATATTGGCTTACTTTCTTCATCCAGGATATCGTGGTAAATAATTATATTAAATTTGTTAATTAAAATAATTTAAAAAATAATAAATTAATTATATTAATATAATATTTTATTAGGTGCTGGGTTGCGAGAACAACATTTTCAAGTTGTTGCAGAAACAGCAATTAAATTATGGCAAGAAGAAGGAAAAGATCAATACGAATGTGCAGATCTTGTAGCATATATGCGACGATTTTTAGAAAAAGATGAAGGATTTAAATTACCTTATAGTTTTGAAAATGATACTCCTCTATTATGGTGGTCAACTAACTTTGTTGGATCAAAATCAATCGGAAAACTTGCAACCAAAATATTTTCAATTACCCCTCATTCTGCTGATTGTGAAAGAACTTTTTCAGCATTAGGTTGGCTTTATGGAAAACGGCGGCAAAGACTTTCTCTGTCCCGAATTCAAGCTATGGCTCAAGTTCGGTCCTTTTGTATTTCTAATATAAAAAAAGAGCTAGCTTATTTTGGTAAAACATTATCACCTGATGACTTACACGAACAAATAAAGTTTGCAACGTTTTTGGCAGAAGATGATGACGAAATAGCTGAAGATTCTGAAATAGAGGAAGAAGAGTCTGAGTATAATTTTAATGTTATTGAACGATTTGATCTTGATAATATTGTGTTCTTAAACGATGAAATTTTTCAAGATAATGAGTCAGATGAAAATTCACAAATTGATGATGAGTTCGATGAAATTGAGCATGATGAATTGACATCTAGTGATGTAGAAGGACGTGGTGTTTATGAATTTGATTCTTCAAAATTAGCGGCAGATTTGGTACGAGGGTGGGGTCATGAAGATTATGAAAGTGTTAATGATAGTATAAATAGCATAGCAAATGAAGTAAGCGAAAATATTAGTGAAAATGTAAATAACATAGAAGGTGAAGATAGTGTTTTAGAAACTTTACCTATAGCACTTCGTAAAACTTGTCGCCAAAGTAAAAAATAAAATTTTTAGTAAATAAATTTTGTTGTTTTATAATTATAATAGTTTCGTCGATTTTGGGTCAAAATCCCAAACAACATTATCGAAAGAACGTAATACTGACTAAATTGGCCAGAATCATAGCTAGTGCCAGCTAACTTTGTCAGTATTATGTTCTTTCGGGGATCTGTTTTTCGGATTTTGACCCAAATTTAGTTTCGTCTATAGTTACGTCAATCGTCAACAGTTACGTCAATC